TGCACCCTGCTTGACGGGAGATGTCTCCCATGAATGTGTCCAAGATGAAGCTGAGTTACGTTTCTAAACGATGTTCTTATATTTGCCAGCGTCCCATATGCTGCTGATGTTACCCTGTTTATGTGTGTCTCCTGTGTGAGTGTCGGAAATATACTTTAAATTGGCCGTTTTCTAGACGATGAGAAACCTTAAGAGGACAGCCTGGTACACCTGGCCGAGGGCGCCATGCTGCTTGCTCAGACACAAGCCTCATCACAAAAACTGGTCCACCCCTGATTTTCTCCGTCGCTTCACTGTGAGCTGCTTCCTACATCTGCGGTCATCTCTGTTCGCTCATTAGAACATAATCCGTCCAGGCAGCACCTGTTTATGTCCACCCGAACTCACCCGTGTGTCTAACCTACCCTTGAAACAATCAAGTGGCTGACGTCTTATTAACTCATTTTATATATGACTGTGTGTTATGTAAGAGACTCAAATGTCGGCGTAGTCGATCGAACAGCTTCCGGGTTCCATCCCCGCAGCAGACAAGAGACGTTTGGGTGTGTTTCATTTCACCTGATGCCTCTGTTCACTTATCAGTAAATAGGTACCTGGAACTTTGGCATGTGTTGAGTGTTGCACCCGGGGGAAGTTAGTCCTTGGGGTACAGTGTTGCTCATGTGTTCCTTGGGGGGTACAGTATACACTGATGGATGTGGGTTAAGAGTGTGTAACTATACTTGACTCAAGGCAGCGGCCATAAGAGTGAAGACGAGATATATTATTATTAATATATCTATTATCTACATAATAGATAATTATACTATTATCTACAACCTGTTTGTTCCTGTCTACTCCTCCTCCCTCGCCCCCTCAAGTGCTTGTTGGGGGCACATGCTTTCTCCTCTTTCACTGCGTATATATATATTGGGACCTGTAGGTGAGGCTTTCGGCTAGTTTTTCATTGTATTTAAAATCCATACATTGCCGTACGATTCATTAATCATTAATGCATTATAATTACAATCTAAACATTATAATGTGTATAGTTAATATAGTTATTGTAGGAAACATTGTTTTATATTGGTTTAAAATTTCCGAGCGGTTGTCACTCAACTTCTGACCTAACACACACACACACTTAAACAAAATCATTAAACTGTGAATTATTGCATTGTCAAAAAAGAATCACTCATGCCATTAATATTAACTCATTTTTTTCAAGTCATTCCCGCTATAAATATATTAAAAATTATGAGGAAAAATACGTGTATGTTAAATGGAAAAAAATTAGGCTACAGATATGATTAATATTCGAGAATGCAATTTACAGTTCATATATCTTTACGCACATGTATAAGCATCTGGAATGGTCTCCATGAATTTTTGAACATCCTGTACATAGGATTACATAGTTATTCTAGATACACTAGTTTGTTCATAGGAATGTAGTATTGCCTTGTAAAATTTATGTATATATGATTTATATTGAATTTTATTAAGTAAAGATAAAAAAATTAGTCATACTAGCTTAGCGTGCTCAGTTTGCCTTGGAAAATTTATGTATATATGATTTATATTGTATTTTATTAAGTAAAGGTAAAAAAATTAGTCATACCAGCTTAGCGTGCTCAGGTTAGGTAGATATAACTATTTTCATCATTCAGGAATTATTGTCAAACAATGATGAGTTGCTGCGTGTGTTACTCACGCATTGTGAGTAAGGCTATACTCACGCCCTGTGTTCTGATGAGTCAGGGTAGTCCAGGACCTGTGTATAGTGTATTATACAGATGTATGGGACTTGGATTATTGAGACGTGTTGCTCGAACGTGCTCTCCAGTCGATTAAAGGTCGAGGCGGGACCCAAGAGCCGTAGCTCATCCCTGGAAGTGCAATTGCGTGAGTAGAACATATATGTCATTATCATACACCTTGCATGATAAAAACATAACATTGCGTGTACACACTCGTTTTGCTATATAGATAGTTTTGGCTGAGTAGATATACTCACAACTCCATAGCTAGATCTTCTTGAGGTTATTTTGAGATGATTTCGGGGATTAGCGTCCCCGCGGCCCGGTCCTCGACCATGCCGCCCCCTTTTTTTGTTACACATCCCCCAGGAAGCAGCCCGTAGCAGCTGTCTAACTCCCAGGTACCTATTTACTGCTAGGTGAACAGGGAGCATCAGGATGAAAGAAACTCTGCCCATTTGTTTTCGCCTCCGCCGGGGATCGAACCCGGAATCTTTGCACTACGAATACCGAGCGCTGTCCACTCAGCCATCAGGCCCCTCGTTGACCATCTTACAATTACATAGTATGCGGTAAACTAATGAGATTAATCCTAAGATGACTGGAAGAAACTTAATGTTTTAATGATGAAGTGGACATCTTGGGAAAGGGAAGGGAAGGGAGAATGGCGCATCAGGAGAAAGCGCCAAGTCATTACGACAATATAGCACTTGGAAGGGGTCAGGATAAGGATATGGGATGGGACGGAAGGAAGGAATGGTGCCCAACCAGTTGGACGGTCGGGGATTGACCGTTTGATTTGTTGATAAATGCACGTCAAGTCTGGCAAAGGAAGGCAGCCGAGGCAGGATTAAGACACGTCTCATATCTGCTCAACAGCAGCGGCTGCAAAACTTTACATCAGACGTCCACTGCCATTGTGATTGTGCACCGCCTCTTTGTTGCTCTTTCTGTCCCTAATCTTTTTTTTTCGACTTGTGTACAAGGAAGACAACCACACTAGGCATCTCAAGCCTCTTACCCTCCTCTTGAATCGACTTGAGAATGGTCCAGGACGGACTGAAACGTCGTCGTCCCTTCACATTCTAGTGTGGTCTGGTCAACCTCTTACCCTCCTGACTGGACCTGTCAGTACGATAGTCTTCAGCACCAGACATATGCTGGTGGTTCCCCTGGATCTTTTACAAGTGCAGTGATCTCAAGCTTCCCTTCCTCATCCACCTTTATCCACAATCAGACGACGGTTATTTATAACACAAGACGGTCAGCCAGCTGAAGCTTATCTTTCAAGCGTGGGTTGGACATGTATATGAGTGGGATTGGGTGGTTATAGATAGGAGCTGCCTCGTATGGGTCAATAGGCCTTCTGCAGTTACTTTTGTTCTTATGTTCTTATGTTTCCTGTGCTCTTTTTTTAAACTAACGCACAATTGTCTTACATTCCTCACAAACAGACATTAGAAATAGTCATGGTGGTGCTGTGGTAACACTCACGTCTCACGAGCAATGTGTCTGGGTTCGAATCCTGGCTAACGAGGATTATGTGGCCATCAATCCTTAACTGTTTGCCTCCCACAATACCACCCCCACCCCCCACCCCAGGGTTGAATTACTGCCCCCCCCCTAGGATGTAACCCAACAAAAGGCTGACTATCCCCTGGGGTACCTACCTAATACTAGGTGAACAGAGGCATTAGGTGATAGGAAATGCACCCTACCATTTCTATATCACGAAATAAAATATATACTTTTGATTTCCGTCAATTCTTCACTTACATCAACTTCTTGGGCGAGGCATATACATTATCTGATGTAAAATATCAACTCTTACCCAGTTAGGATTTATAGAGGAATGTTAATTATTATCCTATGGGCCTCTGTCTCAGCTGAGGTGTACTCACCTAGTTGTGCTTGCGTGGGTGAGCTCTGGCTTTGGTAGAGCCAGAGAGCTTTGGTAGAGCAGCCTCTCTCTCCCTTTGTGTGTAAGGGAGGGAGGTAATGGCATGTAAGGAAGGGCGGGAGAATGATGGGTAAGGAAGGAACCATCCGTGAGGAAAGAGGATGAGTGAGAGGGAGGGAGGATGAGAGAGAGAGAGAGAGAGAGAGAGAGAGAGAGAGAGAGAGAGAGAGAGAGAGAGAGAGAGAGAGAGAGAGAGAGACAGACTAGGGGGGAGAAAGATCACGTTGAAGCAGGAGCATGAGACAGAGATGGAGGAAGGTTGGAGGCAGAGGTAGCGGGGAAAGAGGGAATAATAGAGGGAGACAGATGGTGGGAGTATGGAGGAGAGAGGGCATTATGGGGAGGGTGTGGGAATGGGGGAGGGTGCGGGCTTACCCTCCCCCCACCCCCACAGGTCACACACCCCCCCCTCCCAACCTCTCTACCCATCACGACCCCAAATGATCCCAAATGTATTTAGTAAAAGACGGATCAGATGGCCTTTACGGTCAGTAGCACACATAATTATATCTAGAAACTTGTAAATACTAAAATATTATCAGCCAAGATGGCATTGAGGTATGTTACATCTCAGGTAACCATCTTAGACTCTCCCTCTCCTTAACATTTCCTTCGTTAACGTCTCTTTCTCACATTACTCGCGGCGCATTCCCCAATCTTTTTGATTTTATCGATAGTTTGCCCCCTGTGACGATAGTTGGGGAGGCGTGCTGAGCTGTCAGTGGTGTTGATGAGCAGCTTTTGGTGTGATGAGTGAGGGTATGGGGGTATGAGTGCGTTGGGCAGGTGTTGTATTGTGATGAATATCGTGTTGTTTCCTGCCATTTTGGGTTCAGAAGGGTACCCTAAAACTACCTCCAACCCGCCAGACGTATGAGGTTTGGTTTGGCTGCTTAGGCTTTATTTTCCTAGGTAGTGAGGCCAGCTGGTTTAGTATCATTTCTATACTAAGTTTAATTTATTTTTGGATTTATTTTGACCTTGGTAAGAAAGTAAATAAGGGACTTTTGTCATTTATTTTAAATTCTTGAGTTGTGGCGTTGTTCCTGTACGACAACCTGTACCCCTAACCTATGAAGTCAATGCCTTTGTGAGAATTTTAGAAAAATGTCATGGAAAAAAAAACCCACGAGGTTTTTGGAGACAAACCGAGCACTTTATTCCTCGGATATGCGTTTGTATATTCCTCGAATATGCGTTATTTGAAGTATACCGCGAGCAAAATATATTAAATAAACTAAAATGGTATAAGAGGCGTTTGGTGGCAATACCCAGAGTAACGTCACCCCGAGGCAGCGTGGCCTGCCTCAGTGTGTCGCCAACCACCGTCGGAGGCGGGTTGTACTGCGCGCGTTTTTAAAGGATCGTGAAGTACTATAATTCAAGTCATGCGAGTTTTAAGATAACGTGAATGGATTAAGATTTGAACCTTTAACTCGAGGCATTTTTAATGACACTAGGGTTTCGATAAACGCAAATATCGAAGGAAATCTGTATATTTAATAGTTATATATGAAGTGTATCCATGTGGACCTTGACAGTTTAAAAGGTAAGACAAATTCTGACATCTTTATGATATCTTGTGACATGTCCGTAGAACACATTTTTGATTTTTTTGTACTTGTACTAAGGTAAGGGAGGGCTACAGGTATCCCCCCCCCCCTCCACAAGACTGAAATAATTTCCTCGTTTCCAAAAGCTTGAATCAAGTCATCATAATTTGCTTGAATCATCATATATCATCAGACTTTTGAGGCAGTAGTTAGGATATGAAGGACGTTTAGGCTTATATTCATAAATATTTGTATTAAACGACGTTGGCGTAAGTCTTTGGGGTGGTTATACAGGGTTGTGTATTTAGTATATTGTGTAATTTGTGTATTATGTGAGATCATATAATATATGCTTTCCTCAGGCCAGTGTAGTAGTGTGTTGTCTGTAATATATAAGAGTATATTAGATTATGTATCTATATCTATATATATCTTTATCTCCAACCACTTGGGCTGGACGGTAGAGCGACGGTCTCGCTTCATGCAGGTCGGCGTTCAATCCCCGACCGTCCATAAGTGGTTGGGCACCATTCCTTTCCCTCCGTCCCATCCCAAATCCTTATCCTGAGTGCTATATAGTCGTACTGGCTTGGCGCTTTCTCCTAAATTCCCCCTCCCTCCCCCCCCCCTCTTGCATGGATATCAGGTTGAAGTGTATTCAGTGGGCGTGAAGCAGTCACAGGTGATATTTTCACGGTTGGAGGGACTTGAACGCGCGTTTATTTAGTCGTTTTTAATAATGCATGTTAGGGCATTGATATTTTATTGTGGTGCGAGTGGCCGCTATTCACACCGTGCGGTGAACTTAAGAACCCATTGTTACAGTCAGTTTTAAGAGCCGCAATGTGTGGTAATTGTCGGAACAATGTGTGTTTGGCTTTGAGGTTTTCGCCCACGAGGACGAAAATGAGCAATAACTGCATTACAGTTAACGAGTAATCCATCCGGATTCCAGGCCGGATTAATTAATGACTCGTACTAGGCCCTGAAGTTCCCATCAGCCGGGGAGTAATGCATGTATGGGGGACGTCCATACATTCTCCAAAGGAGACCTGATCAACCAGGCTGTGACTCGTACGTCAGGCTGCGAGCAGCCGCGTTCAACAGCCTGGTTGACCAGTCCAGCAACCTGGAGGCCTGGTCGACGAGCCCTGAAATCACCTCACAAGGTAACCTCAAGGTAAGGTAGGGACGCAGCAAACAATTACCTTGACTTCAAGAGTAGAGAAACTCTAGAAACAGACTATAGGTAAACATTGTTGAACACAAGGTGATGGTTAAAGATTAGTATGGGCCTAACCCATCTTAAGAGTAAGTCGGTGTAGGCCTAACCCATTTTAGTGCTAATTGATGTAGGCCTATTCTTAAGGGTGACTGTACCCTGACGTTAGGCCTTGTGGTTAATTTCTTTGGGCCATTTTAAGCTTATCCTGGGACTAACTTTACTACTTAGGTGTATAATATTCTATATATACGCAATGTTTTATCTAGGAAAAGTTTGCTTTTATCGGGTAGGTTGTCTTGTACATTTTATTGTAAACCTACGTTAATTGTAGGTTTACAATTGTTATTGAGTATTTTTGAGGTTCACATTTTCAATAGTACAAAAATGTAAACTTGTCGAACGTAAGTGTTTAACAAATTAAAAATTTGTTAAACTTTGTATTTTAATTTTTTAATTAAATTTGTATTATATAATTCTAAAATCGAATTATATAACTGATATAAAATAGAATGTATGTTCGAGTAATACGCTAATTTATCCCACAAGACGCGTGCAAACTAATGATGCATGCAGATATCTGATATTACAACCCATCCTCTTGACTAATAAATCATTACATTATCATTATAAATGCAACATTTATAACGAATTTGATAATTATAAAAACTAGATCATTGGGTTCCTTGAGTTCTAGCGTTTGTGGCCAAGCTAGCAGGTTTGATTTATTACGGAGTGGGAATTCACGAGAACGAGCGATTCACCAAGACGACGGTGAACGATTCACCAAGACGACGATCTCTTTAAGTGTTATGCGCTCTTATCTTGGGGTCCCTCCCAGTGACGATCTAAGATATACAAGTAAATGTCAAGATTGTCAAGATAAGATACTGGGTGTTTGTGAACCTATCTATCGATAAATCCACCTTTTTTTGTTATATATTTGTGACGTGATTATTCTTGTTACATGCCAGAAGCTGTTTATCATCGCTAGGATGCCAAGTGCCCCGTCCCACCGCTCTCCACTTGAAGTGTTGAAGTGTTTGTTACCGAAATCTGTAACACTTAAGCCGTGTTGCTGTCTGCTCGGACATTGTTTTCAAGTACCTGAATGAGAGAGCAGTGCGACTTTGACCGTTTTCAATTTTGTTTCTACGGGCGAGTATATGGGAAAATTCCGGCCGTTACAACCCATCTACCATAAAATGATAGAACCTTTAGCCTGGTTAGAGACCGGGTCACGTGGACATTGATTCCCGGACCTGGCAATAGGTGGGCAAGTTGGAACCTCTTCAAAAATGCCATGTGTTGTTTTATTGGCTTGTACTTTCATTAATATCAACTATAGGTCCTATCATTATTGTCCGACAGGATGCTTTGTAGCTTGCCCTTGCCATAGTTTATGGTAAGCCGTATTCTATTAAGTTTCCCATGGAACACGACGTGCCATTAATATTTACACTAAAGTTCTCGATTATTAAGTGAACAGTCAAGGAGTGGTGACCAGTCGATCGTGTTCAGGGTTCGAACCCAGCTGAAATTGCTGGCGAGGCGTGGGGCGAGTTGATAGTACCGTGTCATAGCTATATTAAATAATATACAATATAAGTGATGTATTTACCTTGTAAATTGATGTATTTATGGTTGATATAATTCTCAGTAAACCAATGTTTCATATCACAGAACATGAGCCTTAAATCCGAAATGTTATGTACTTGATCCTGCCTTGCAAAAACTTCAGTAAAGAACTTCAGGGAAAGTCGAAAATTTCCAGTTTGGCATCAGGCTGCTGCTTCTGGAAACTTTACTTGTTAAGACCACTCAATGGCTCGGTCGATAGAGCTTCGGCCATGAACGTGGGGTCCAGGGTTCGAGTCGCCTAGAGCCCAGGTGAATGTGTGTGTGTTGTCTACCGAGTAACCCACGAGTCATACGTATTCCATGAACCTGCATATCCACAGAAAAAATGTAATCAGAAGGTAAACAGAGAACCCACGAATAGATGACTGGACATCGTCAATTTTGCGAGCCGCTATGATTTTTTAGTATATTAGTTTTTAGGTTTAGGGGGGGATTTATACGTTAAAATGCGATGTGCTGTTTGAGAAGACGTGTTGTACTCGTGACGGAGTGGTTAGCATGGTCATCTTGGCCCACCTGGTTGTGTACTGGTCGCCTCGTCGCCGCGTTTGGCATGGTGGTCGCCTCGTCGCCGCGTTTGGCATGGTGGTCGCCTCGTCGCCGCGTTTGGCATGGTGGTCGCCGCCTTTGGCCTGGTTGTCGTCGCCTTTGGCCTGGTTGTCGTCGCCTTTGGCCTGGTCGTCGTCGCCTTTGGCCTAGTCGTGGTCACCTTGCTCTCCTGCTTGTCTCGTAGCGGTCGATATCATTACAAGATTTAAAATGGTGCTTGTAGGTAGATGCCGAGTATGAATGATGGAAGCCTGGCTGGCCTGACGCCCTCCACACAAGGGTTGCTCTGACCGCCTGGCAACTAACTGTTCTGCTGGGCGTCGGGGATGTTCATGTGTTGTCACGTACTTGTTCTGTTTAACGGTAACGCTCAAAATTAGAATCCCAATGCTGATTATTTTCAATCGGATATATAAATAATTATTACAGTACATGTAAAAAAGTGTTCAGCGCTGAAGGATAAAATATTTCAAAGCAGCTTACAAATTAATCCAACGAAATCGGGTTAAAAAATCCATTTATATAAGCACAATCGGAGAACACTGTAGACATCAGAGGTTCACGGTTGTTCAGCATCCTCCCAGCGAGTATAAGAAAAATTGCCGGAACAACCGTTGACATCTTAAAGAGAAAATATAATTTTCTTCAAAAAGTGCCGGGCCAACCAGGCTGGGGTGGATATGTGGGAGTCGGTCGGCCGAGCAGACAGCACGCTGGACTTGTGATCCTGTGGTCCTGGGTTCGATCCCAGGCGCCGGCGAGAAACAATGGGCAGAGTTTCTTTCACCCTATATCACCCTGTTACCTAGCAGTAAAATAGGTACCTGGGTGTTAGTCAGCTGTCACGGGGGCGGAGGGCACTAAAAAGGGGACACTAAAAAGCCCCGAAATCATCTCAAGATAACCTCAAGAAGGATGCTTCTAAGGCCGCCCCTGTCCGCCCATGTAAGGTGTGACAGTAGTGCATATAAAAATAGATGACACAAGTATCTCTTCAGATACATGCCTTTTATTTTAGCCTAATAGTCATATGTATTCCACGAGTATAAAAACCGTAGTTAGTTTTTTTTTTTACTCGTTGAATTCCCAAGAAATAGGCGATCAAAAATATTTATTAAATTCGCACACGCAGTGAAAGTAAAGGACTTACCCTTTCATTCCATTTCTTAAATCCTTTCACGCTTATGATGTGCATTATATTGGATGGCTTGGGCAAAGTTAGCGGATAGACTTGTTCTGACTCTTGGTATAAAACAAGAGGGCAGAAGATATAAACTTGATATCCAAAATGAGCTAGCCTAAGACATAAATTTGGCTTCTAACCTCGTTACAACCTAAAGACATCTTAACCTTTTCTATTATATAAATCTGGATGTAAGGGCATTGAAGAAATTGAATGATCTATGCGAAATATTTAGGGAACGGCTGTCAGTCAAGCGAGGAACCCAACAGTTGAAAGCCGTCCTCTGCAGCTACAGAGAGGTGAATGGATGGCACAGCCTGAAAAGCACAAAGAACTTGCCAAGGTCTACGAGAACCAGCCTCACAGACAAGGCAATCAATCACCAGGAAAGGCTGGACCAGGCTACGAGAGAAGAACTAAAAAAATCAACAAACTGGCAAGCATCATACATTGATGTCTTTACACAAATAGCCTAGCCTAACATAGCCCCTGGAATTATGCCAAGGGCTACAACTTCAAGGTTCCAGGGCAGTGCATCGACATCATTAGATTCAATTGCTTCCCCCCCCCCACCCCCTCTGGTTCAGGTTGGCCTTGCAATCCCTTTGGAGCTGCTCTGATCCCGTAGTCTGACTTCTGGTATAGAAGTCCTATTATCGGACACTGTAGCCCCATACTCGTGGGAGGTGACACTGTTGTCCTATACTCGTGGGGGGCACTGTTGTCCTATACCTTGTGGCATATTCGTCCTATACACCGCAGCCTCGTAGGGTATGACACTTTAGCCCTATACTCTTGAAGGGGGGGGGGGGGTGGACACTGTCTCCCTATTCCCGGGGTTGGGGGGGGGGGCGCTGAGGTACCCCACACGCTTGTAGGAATTCCAATAAAAACCTGTCGGAGGCTTCTCGCCTCAAGCACGTTCTATCCCCGAGGGAATATGCCTGCTGATCACATTCGCGTTCAGAGCAGGTTCGAGATCCACTTGCTTGTTACTACGTGCAGACGGCAGTTATTAAGCGGTGCCCGCGGCTACATGACCACCACACGCACCACCCTGGGAGGAATTTCCTCTTGGTCTTCATGGACCATCTCTTGGGGCCCGGGCAGGGTCGGCATGCACCTGCAGTTGCTCCAAGGTATAAGCTGCAGGTGCATGTTCTCCAGTTGCAGTGTTGTGAATTTTGTCAGGCTTGAGTTGCTTGCTAGGCTAAGTTGTTTAAAGCGTCTCAATGTTTTCTTATTTCCAGAAGGAGCTTGCTTCCCCAAAACCTCCCAAAAGCCCTCGATAGCTTATTTCCCAAAAGCCCTCGACAGGTTTTTTCCCAAAATCACGCGCCTAATAGTGCTTGGAGACGCGAAGCCTCAACTTTAAAACGACTGTGAGCTTAGATGTCGTGGTGCTCTTGAACAGTTTTATCCCAATTGTTGGGCACTGTCCTCGTATCCCAGCTCGTTGTCCTCTATTCATTCACTCTACTATCCACCCACCTGTTGACGTCACCGCCCACCTGTGGACATTGGCCAGCTGTCAGTTGTGTTGACCTGTTTAATATTTGACAGTTGGGAATCGTGTCTTCAGGACAGGAGTAGAGGAGGAGGATAGACCAAATGGAGGGCAGATTGTCGTAGAAGGGGGTAAGGGGGGAGGTAAACCCTGACCCCCAATCATAGTGGGAATTTAACCCTCCTAAATCCCCCCTCTCCCCCCCTACCTTCCTAACCTTTTCACCATTGCCTGTACCTCGACAACAATCGCCATTTTCCTTATATATTAAGATACTGTTTCCTCGATAAATTTTCTGGAGCCTATCTCTGGGCGATGATTGGCTTGGCAATTAGACCAATAATTGGTTTGCCTTTGAGTGTTTGATGTTTTAAATCTACTACTTATTAGTAATTGAGAGCTATAATGCATTTTTAGGCTCGCTATTGAGAACTTAAAATGTTTTAAAGATAAAAATGATTTGTCTGGTAAGAGGATACCTGGAGATGATAGGGAGGAGTTGGCGGAGGTCTGCGGTGTGGCGCAGGAATCTGACTAGGCGAGGTGCACCAAGGTTATGGCGGCGTGTGGCAGCTGTTCCAGCCTTACCTGACTCATTCACTCCTGCCTCGCCTTTACCCCCACCCCTGCCTCGCCTTCACTCCCTTCCTCGCCTTCACTCCCTTCCTCGCCTTCACTCCCTTCCTCGCCTTTATCCCCCCCCCTGCCTCGCCTGGCTCGCGCCTTTACCCGCCCCCCTGCCTCTGGCTTGCGCCTTCACTCCCTGCCTCGCCTGGCTCGCTCCTTTACCCGCCCCCCTGCCTCTGGCTTGCGCCTTCACTCCCTGCCTCGCCTGGCCCGCGCCTTTACCTGCCGCCTGCCTCGCGCCTTCATCGGTCAATAACTTTCATAATATACACACGTAGGGTTCCAAGCCATGGAAATTAATATAGTTATGATGTATGATATAGTGGGTAAATAAGATATGTATTGAGTAGACATGTAAGTAAACAATACATGATTGTGTGGCAACTACAAGCATCAGTATGGAATATCTAGGCTAATGTTGACTTTCAACTTTCCTCTTGTATCCAAGATCAATATATTGAAAGGGTGACTTAGTTTATCCCTAGTATTAGTGACTTTCAATATGAAGAGCGGCGTAAGTTAGACAAAAAATGGTCACTTGCTACCCAGATTCAGATACGGGAAGTGTGGATTCATAAGGTAGGTAAATTATGATCTGGAAACAGATTAGTCTACATGTTTATATGGAACACGATACTAAGGATCATCGTACATCAATTCCGCAGTATTCTATACTGGCCAATAACTTGGACTGGTCGGTACAGCGACTGCCTCGATTCTGGCTGGTTGGCGTTCGAAGCCGATGGTCGAAGTAACCTGGTACGGTTGCTCCCCTCCACCCTATCCCAGCTCATACAATTTATTATTATTAACATCTTTATTGATAAAATTAATTACAATTTTGCCTAATCTGAGGATTTTAATGAGCGGGGATAAGGTGGAGGGAAGGAGATTTGGATACATTACATTTCCACAAGTTAGGTAGGTAGACACTCTGGTTCACCTCGGATTACGAGGCTTTAATACAGCATGGTCTCGTAGACATGACTTGTCGGGAGGCTCTTGTCCGTCTGTTCTGCAGGAGGTAATCTCGAATTGCTATCTTGATAGGAAACTGTACCAATCACAGACAGCTCTTGCATGTTTGACGTGGTTCCTGTCAGCAGGGTAGGCATAGTCAATCAAGCTCCCTCTCTACAGAACTAAGAACTACAAGACACCAGGAGCCATTGGATTCTCAACGCCTCTTGACCGCGCTCCACGGCAGGATCGCCAAGCAGTCGCCATAGGACGCTTCTTACAGCCTGACACTCGCATAAATTACCTGTTACCACTCCACTGTAAGTTCTAAAAAATATACGTTGTTGATTGACCAGACCACACACTAGAATATGAAGGGACGACGACGTTTCGGTCCGTCCTGGACAATCGACTTGAGAATGGTCCAGGACGGACCGAAACGTCGTCGTCCCTTCACATTCTAGTATGTGGTCTGGTCATCATACTTTAGCCACGTTATTGTGACTCATCGCCTGCATACATTGTTGTTTCTGTGCCCATTTGCCTGGCCATACGAAAAGTTAAGAATTGGGTTGTCTGATGGTAATGAGTTTCATGTGACATACAGTAAGCAAACCTTTGGAGCTGATAAAGAAAAATTGGAGTGGGTGCCTGCTCGGTGCCTCTAAATATCTTGCAAGTTTGGGTTGTTACTTTTAGGCACGTGGTCCAGTGGGTATTTCGCGTGTCTGGGGTGACCCCAGGATACGGGTTCGATTCCACCTCCCTGCTCTAAAGATTCTCATATATCACGCCATTCTGATTCCACCGTGAATGCATTACTACTAAAGTAGTGAGAACGTAAGAACTTGCTACCCAAGTAAAACAAAACTACCTAAGTTTTCCCTCATAATAGCAGTGATTTGTTGAGAAACATCAGTGTAATCATGTCCTTGTATCTGTCATCTCTTATCACGAGTTATCAGTTGATAATAGCTCGCTGGGAGGCATCCGGTGAAGCCGGCTGAATGCTGAGCTTGCGCACAATTGCTGTGTAGTAACTTGAGCCATTACTCAGGACACGTACGAGGGACGCAAGCTGGGTGCTGAGAGTGATGCTTGGTGCTGGGCAAGTCTCCTCGACTGGGTCGCATTGTGTGTGTAAATAATTTGCAGTCTGCCTGTATATGTATAGAGGAGAGAGAGGGGCGGAGGGAGCAACCAACCGACCTCCCGCAGTCAGTATTCAGTTCCCATTGTCCACCTCCCCCACCACTGACCGTAGGGGAAAACTGCACTTCCTGCCTACCATTTATTTAACATTTAATGAAATTCTTCGCTTCATTTGAGGGGGATAACTAATTTGCTTTTCTCTTATTTTTTCCCTTGTTCTTTTTTTTCATATTTAAAATCATACTCGACTCGTCCCAGTTATTTACTTCAAAATAATATAAACTACAATAATATTTATGGGGTTCTGGAGTGAGTTTGGTTAGGCTACTTAATTGGAAACAAAAACAATGATTTTATCTTTCTACTCGACCCTATTCCTGAACTTAATAAAACTTAATAGTTTTATTAAGTCTAGTATAATGGCAATCCTATCCTTTTCATGTGTCCTTTCTTGGATATATTTTATTTTAATAAAACTTTATAGTTTTATTAAAATATTAGAATAGTTTTATACTATTTATTAATATTTTATTATACTTCTACTAAATAGTATAATAAAAGTTTTTTACGTTTGTGAAATGTGACGTTAAAGGTTGTCCCTCTCACACGGGCATAATTAATGGCTGGTACAGTGCGCTAATTAATGACTGGTACAATGCGTGAATACTATTGAAAAGGTTAATGGTACTTAACTCGATAATGGCCGCGAGTCCAGGAAGTGATATATATAAGTACATATTGTGTGGGATTTTCGCCTAAATGGTCGCTTAAAAAAATATATTATGTATTATTGACCAGATCACACACTAGAAGGTGAAGGGACGACGACGTTTCGGTCTGTCCTGGACCATTCTAAAGTCGATTGTGATGAGGAAGTAGACGCACGTCGATCACAATCGACTTGAGAATGGTCCAGGACGGACCGAAACGTCGTCGTCCCTTCACCTTCTAGTGTGGGGTCTGGTCAACATACTTTAGCCACGGAATGGGTAACTAGCGCCGTGGCAAACATCTTTAATAGTACTTTTACGTAAAAAGTTCATATGACTTCATCAGATCATAAAAATTACCCACAACCTTTGAGCAAAAATTGCTATAAAAAACTAATTCAATGTTAACTTTTTGTAAAAGTCTAAATAAAAAAATAAAACGTTAATTGAAATCCAATTTAAATTCGAATTTACAATTACTCTCAAAATACAAGATCTTACAAACTGACGTTTAAATATACTGTACAAAATAGAACAGCAAAGTTCTCACATCAGCTAAAGTAAAAATTGACAAACAGTCTTAAAAATTACAATCACATTTACAAATATATATAACAAAATCAGCAACACTTGGGAATTTATATAAAACACAAAAAGAAATTATGTAAAGATTGAAAACAAACTGTTTAACAGTTCAAACTCGACCATTACAAAACTAATGTACACTAATACAAACTAATGTACACTAATGTAAACAAGAGCGTGTAATATAAATGGAGACAGCACAACAAATTAGTCTTGAGGGAAAAAAACGGTCAGATAAGGTAATTATCAGGAGGAAAATTGAGATAAGGTAATTAATTATCAGGAGGAAAATTGGCTGAAGTGTAAATTGAAAAGTTGTACAGTTCCCGTCCCTTCGTCTATCAGAGGGAGAGCACCAAGCCATCACGTCTATATAGCACTTGGAAGGGGGTCAGGATAAGGATTTGGGATGGGACGGGGAGGGAAGGAATGGTGCCCAACCATTTGGATGGTTGGGGATTGAACCCCCGACCTGCATCAAGCTTGACCGTCGCTCTGCCATCCAGTCCAAGTGGTTGAACAGAAGAGACATTGATAAAGATTAAGCCACCCAAGAGGTGGCACGGGCATGAATAGCCCGTAATCAGAAGACACATTTTTGTTAGGTTTATAAAGGCCGAAGGTAAGATAAGGTTATTATCAGGAGAAAGCGCTTTGCCCTTACGACTTGGTGATGCGAGGATAAAGATAACTGAGAGGACTGGGGGAACGGAATGGTGCTTAACCACTTGGACGATTGGGGATTGAACGCAGACCTGCAAGAAGCGAAAAGCCAATCCAAGTAATTGGGGCCTACGTTCTTTAATAATAAACAAAGTACAAAGACTACAAAACAAAGTACAAAGACTACTTTGTACTTAGATCAAAGGAGCCACTATTACAAATAATCCAAATTTCGAAGCCAAACTCATTGAGAGGATGATTCTCTTGTCGGAAGTGATTTCTAATGTTGAAGATTGACGGATTCAATAGCACAATGTAACGACTTTTTCCCTTGATAACCTACCTTTGTGACCAGAACTGGGAAAAATGGAGCTGTTATCACGTACTCGGAGCAATAAGGATAGCGCTTCCACCAGGATATACTGGAGTTTGACAACGGCTACCAACGACAATATAGCGAGTGACTGCGGCTACCAACGACAATATCGCGAGTGACTGCGGCTAAAAACGACAATATAGCGAGTGACTGCGGCTACCAACGACAATATAGCGAGTGACTGCGGCTAAAAACGACAATATAGCGAGTGACTGCGGCTACCAACGACAATATAGCGAGTGACTGCGGCTAAAAACGACAATATAGCGAGTGACTGCGGCTACCAACGACAATATAGCGAGTGACTGCGGCTAAAAACGACAATATAACAAGTGACCGGCTAAAAACGACAATATAGCGAGTGACTGCGGCTACCAACGACGATATAACGAGTGACTGCGGCTACCAACGACAATATAGCGAGTGACTGCGGCTACCAACGACAATATAGCGAGTGACTGCGGCTACCAACGACAATATAGCGAGTGACTGCGGCTACCAACGACAATATAGCGAGTGACTGCGGCTACCAACGACAATATAGCGAGTGACTGCGGCTACCAACGACAATATAGCGAGTGACTGCGGCTACCAACGACAATATAGCGAGTGACTGCGGCTACCAACAACAATATAGCGAGTGACTGCGGCTACCAACGACGATATAACAGTGACTGCGGCTACCAACGACAATATAGCGAGTGACTGCGGCTACCAACAACAATATAGCGAGTGACTGCGGCTACCAACGACGATATAACAGTGACTGCGGCTACCAACGACAATATAGCGAGTGACTGCGGCTACCAACGACAATATAGCGAGTGACTGCGGCTACCAACGACGATATAACAGTGACTGCGGCTACCAACAACAATATAGCGAGTGACTGCGGCTACCAACGACGATATAGCGAGTGACTGCGGCTACCAACGACGATATAACAAGTGACTGCGGCTACCAACGACAATATAACGAGTGACTGCGGCTACCAACGACAATATAACGAGTGACTGCGGCTACCAACGACAATATAACGAGTGACTGCGGCTACCAACGACAATATAACGAGTGATTGCGGCTACTAATTAAAATATAACATGATGCGAGAAAAGATTTGGGGGGCCAAGTCGTGAAAGAGATTCACAGTATAGTCGTAAGTAATCACTACTCGCTTCTAAATATTTTGTCGTAATTTGTTTTTTGTATAACTTTAGCATAAATGCAAAGTTGATTTTGATTCAAATGTTTTCATAACGTAGCTGAAAAATTTAGACCCTCAACCCACGTATGTCGCTTTGATGGTCCTGAACGGACCGAAACGTTGTCACTGTTTATTTTCAGATGTGTGGGGTTGGGTTTCTATGTATCTTTTAGCTTGGCAACCGGAGCTACAAGTGTGCTGCTACTCTGGTGAAAACTGAGGCCACCACAGCACACGATCTTCAACCATTAATCATCAACGTTACGTGTGATCTTCAGCCGTGAACGTTACGTGTGATCTTCATCCGTGAACGTTACGCGGGAGCTTCATCCCCGTAACCATCTTCATCCCCGTAACCATAAGCGATCTTCATGGCCTTAACCTCTCTGGTACCCGAGCACTGCTTGGTGCTCCATCTTAGCGGTGTATAGGGTCGGGGGCTCCCAACACTTAATTGTCGTGGAAAAAATGCTGGATTGAGCTAGATTGAGATCTGGGCTGATCTCAACCCCCAAATGGCTTCCACCAGCCACTAGTTACCCTGCAAAGTTTGGTGAGGTTCGCTAGCCCTAAGCTTCTGGCTTCCAACTTTGGACACACAGATGTACTATTTTTTATAAATAGGTATGA